TAGTTATGGGGATGTGAAATACAGTATGGGGAATATAGTCAGTAATATTGTAAAACCTATGTATAGTGTCAGATGGGTACTAGACTTATGGAGGGGATTACATAAAAATTACATAAATGCCTAACCACTGTACACTTAAAACTAATATAAAATAATATTGGGTGTCAAGTAATTTAAAATATATGTATAGTCATGGGATATAAAGTACAGCATAGGGAATATAGTCAGTGGTATTGTAATAGCTATATACAATGTCGGAGGGGTAGTAGACTTGCTGGGGTTATCACTTTATGAAGTATGTAAATGTCTGACTATTTTGCTTTGTGCACCTGAAACTAATAATAAGGAAAAGAAAGGAAATCCTCCCAATAGTAATAAAAATATTTTGACTATACAAAAGGCTTATAGACTCATAATGATTTTAAAATAATCATGAGAATTGTATTTTGTCATTAATGATATTAGACCTTTTGTCTAACAACTAGAGATTAAGTGCTAGATAGTTTCAGAGACTGGAGTTGACTCTGGCCAGTCCATTTACTGACAGGCTATGGCCTCATGAGATTATTTCTGTTTCGCAATCTGTTAAATGGGTGTAAAGCTACAGAATGTTCCTTATAGAGTTGATTTAGGTTCTTCATGAAATACTGTGTGTCTAACCACTTCATATACTGTCACTTTGTGGCATCCCAACACATGATTATTATATATGAATACAAATGGTGTTCAGTTGAATGGAATGTTATTAATTTCATCTTTTAATGTATATAATCTCCATAGGTACCTGCTTAGGTTTGTTATTTGATATGATTTGACTGGGATGCTTTAAAAGTTAGAATTAACCTCCCCCAAGATTAATTTTGTGGTGTAGAATGTGCATATCCATGGCTGTCAGAGATGGCCTTGTAGTTACTTGAGAACTTTTAATTTCTAAAGAGTTAGATCTCAGAAATATGCAATTTTTGGCCTTCCCATTGAGTGTATATTCATATAAGGAAGTTGTTTAATAGCTACAGTCTGTCTATGAGATAAAGATGTAATAGAGTACATTTCCCCTTATTAGGGACTTATTCACTGATTTTCATAGAAAAAGTTCAGAAAATTGAAGTACTGCCTCGTTATAGAGCTAGACTGTTGTGCAGTGATTCCCCGCTTACTGTGTGGAACCCCCATACAATAGGATGGTTTTGAACAGATAATGACCCCCATGGCGAGTGAGTGAGCTGACCTACTGCACCAATAACAAAAGCTACACATTGTGGGGTATCCATGGCCCTGCTGATCCAAACCAGCCAGCAGCCCATACTAGGCAGCCATTCTTTCAGTGGGAAAAAGAGATGGAAGATACTATTAAAAAATCCTTTCTATTTTATATGAAGCTCATCTATAAAACATCAAGCAAAAAAGATATGATAAAAACATAGGGTGATATTCACATAAAAATGAAACTAAAGAAAAAACATAAGGAAGTATAAATAATTCATGAGCACATACTTGTCATAAGGATTGATCTTTTACATCCTAAGGGAATACTGACTGTTGACACATGGGTATTCTGTGTTTAGTTTCAATTTTTATAATACTTCATTATATGTTTTAAAATTTGAATTATTACAATGAAGTGCTTTTGTAGTAACAAGATATTGTATATGAAGTGGACATGCTATGCATTTTGTGGTTTATCTAATTAAGAAAGGAACATATTGGGCCGGCCAAGTGGCGCATTGGTTAAGAGCTGGCTTGGGTCACCAGAGGGCCCCGGTTAGGATCCCACATAGTGTTTGGTGACAAATTTATAATTTAACCCTCATAATTAAATTACTTAATTCAAGAATATTTTATGGTCTTGATTGCATGCTTGACATGATTTTTTTCTCAATTTTATTAGAAAATTCCACATTATTTTCTTTTAATACCTATTGACCTCTTACAGAAACTAAAAATCCAAAATGAGAATAATGACCAAATGCTAAATCTTTCACCAAGGTCTGTTAAATTTAAAAGTCTTCAAAGAAAGTGTGGGTAATATAACAGAGTCAGGATGATTTTTCATATAATTTACATTTTTACAAGATTTTCTTCTTGAGGCCACAATAGCTTACTAGCATCACAAGAGATTTTTGCTTCTCTTTAGCTGAGAAAAGCATATCAGTTTTATAATTTCTAATATTAGTGTTAGGCTTAACTATATAGTTCAATGTATAAATAACTATATAGTTCAACGTATAAATAACCACCTCAAATAAGGCCTTCCCTGAAAAATATTCCTTTAAACCCTCAGAAAGATTTAGGCATTTCTTCTAATGTTCCCATAGCACTTATTGCATACTCTATTAAAACACTTTCCATTGGTATTTCCATTTTTTTATACCTCTGTTGGTCTTCTCTAGCAGGCCAAGAGCAGTAATATGTTAGAGCTGACTTGAGCTTACTCAAGCAATCCCTTGGGATATTTTCAGGAATTTTGTGAATTGGTTGTTAAATACAACCATTATTAAAAATCAAATTATATAAATTTAAAATTAAATAAATTCAAAAGTGCAAGCTCTGAGCAACAGCAGTTCGAGTCCTGGCCTGAGCTGAGCTGCCACTGAGCTACCAACAGGTGGCAGGATGGCTCAGCTTAAAAATAAAAATTTAAAAAAAATTAAATTAAATTAAATTATATTAAATACAAAGATAGTTAACAATTAAAAAGTCATTATTACCTAATTATTTGGTACAGTCTATCCTCTGAGTTATTTATATTTATTGTATCTGTATGCTGGAAATAATATATAATGGTGTGCTACTGTGTCTCTCTTTCCAAATCTATTTTTAAAGACACCATGTTGATAGCTTGGAAATAGCCATGGAAAGAGTACTTATACCACAGACAATGGCAAATCCAAAAAAGCCAGGACTTGATCTTTTGTTAGGATGATTATGTAGACTCAAGAAAACGATGGAGAAAATGTTAAGAATGAAGATTTAACTTAAAGTTGTGTTATGTCTGTAGCCTCTGCATTATGAATAGAACACAAAACTGAAGAAATATTCTCCTAGTATGTGAAAATCATTGCCCAGAACAAAGTGGTTCACATCACTCACAAGTGAGTAAAGTTCTGACATACATATTTGAGGTTCCCTTTCATTTTATTTGCCAACATGAGTGAAAATTTCAAGGATTTCTATCTAGTCTGTGGATTTTCTGTGTAAGATATAAAAGGAGAAAAATTTTAAGTGAGGAAGGAAAAGGTAATAGTCTTCCACAGACGAAATGGTAAAGCTATCCTTCATAAATAGAGACAATACTACTATATGAGCATCATGTGAAATGTTTCTATTTTAGTGGTGATTGATTTGAGTCAATCCATATCTATACAGTCTCCTTTGTGCTAATTTAACAATTTAATACATATTTATTGAGCAGATACTCTCTGGAGTACACTATTCTAAGCACCACAGCACATCAAAAGAAAAAAAAGTGATTAACTATCATAAAGTCCTTGCTTTTCAGGAGCTTAAATTCTAAAAAGAGAGAATATTGTAGAAAAATACAGTACATGTTTAGACATTCTAAAAACCCATGAGAGAAAAAGAAAAAAAAAAGAAGAAAAAGAAAAAACACAGGCTATTAGAATTCAGAAGGTAGAGGGTTGTCATATGCTTGGAAGGAGCAGGGAAAGTTTCCTAAATATTGTGTGATATAAAATGGCTTTTAAATCAGTAGCATTTCAACAGATGGAAACTACCCCATACTGCAGAGCAAAAGTATAATGAGATGGAAATCATGAATGAAAAAATTGAAGTTAGAGTCAGAAAACCACATATATAAATAATAGCATTATAAAAAGAGTAAACCAGAAAGAGAAGTCATAAAGAAATATTTTAAAACTTTCTTAAGTTGATGAAAAATATTAGTCTTCAGATGAAATGATCTCAAAAGCTTTAGTCAAGATTAATGTGGAAACTTTCACATCCACACATTTCTGTTTACATTTCTGAACAAAATAAGGACAGAGATTTATAAGCCCCCAGACTGAAATGAAGTTATGAGTTGGTGGGATGATATAGAAGTACATTCCAGGGAAAGACACACCAGGAAAGGTCCAGAGGCAGAAAAACTAAAGATTTTTTCAGAAGTAGGGAGTAATCGAGATGAATGGCTAGGGTGTAGAGTAAAACCAGTGTCCACAAAGGGAAATAAAACTGAATCATTCACAGTGATTGATAACTACACAGAGTGTTTAATTGCTAGCTTGCTTGTACATTCTGCAATGGCATATATGCATTAGCTTTGTTAGTGTTAATTTAGTCAGGTAATCAAACTCACCACACAAAATTATTTTATTTATGATATTTAAAAACCATAGAATGCACAACAAAATAAATGGTATTCATTTTGCTTCTTTTCCTTCCTTCCCTCCCTTCCTCCATCCATCCCTCCTTTCCCTCCCTCTTCCTCTTCCTCTTCCCCTTCTCTCTCTCTCTCTCTCTCTCTCTCTCTCTCTCTCTCTCTCTCTGCAATAATGACTACACCTTCCTTACAGAAAGTTGAATACAATTTAAGGATCCTGAATTTCATAGTTTCAGTCTTAATTAAGGTTACTATCAGGGAAAGAAAAAACTTCCAAGGGGGTTATAAGAAATATGTTAGTACCACCATTAATTTATCACAATTATTTTTATCTACACATTGATATTTTCAAAAGAAAAATTTATTTTGAATTTCTTAAATTGTCTTCATTAGTATCAATCAAAATTCTAAATATATGCTACAGCAGGTATTGTTACTTCGGTGATATGCTGACTTTAATTATTGAATATTAATATCCAACACATGAAATACTATTCAAAGTTATGTGGAAATTGTTAATCTACCAAAATCTGATGCAGAACAACTAACCAAACATTAAAACTAAATCAAGGTCACAATGTATAAAATCTCATTAAGGAAAAACAGATCACAATTAATCAAATTGATTACTAATAGGTTTTTCTATCATTTTCTGCCAGGGGTATGATGATGGCTACGGGGCTGAATATGATGACCAGACCTATGAGACGTATGATAACAGCTATGCCACCCAAACACAAAGGTAAGCCAATTGTTGTCTAAAGCAGCCTTCCCAGGATTGTTTCTAATCCTGCTATTTTGTTTCTTGTATCTGAATATTGGTTATAATGTGTGAGTTTCTAGTAGTGTTTTTTCCTCCGTTGTCTTTCTGAATGAAGTTGCTAACTAGACTCTGAGTCATAAAAATAATAATCTTTCAATTCTTAATAATGAAATTGTACTGTGTTATTTTAAGACTAGATGATTATTATAACTAATCAACTTATTAACAAGCATGTATTTAATGAAATACTGTTAGAGATTATTTTAGTGAATTCATAATTAAGACAACAATGAAAACAAGTCACTTATTCAATGGAACTATTTTTCCTTAAATGTAATTTTCATTACAAAAGATAAGGAAATGTCATTGGTGCTCCGAAAACAGGAAAATTTATAAAATACCTTAATTAATCAAGAATTCCTTACCGTTCTTAATGTGTCTCTAAATGACTGTTGAATATATCTCTTTAGATTGACTCAAAATTTGTGATATAAATAAATTTTTACTTTTTTAAAGTTAGATTTAGTTAGGCATTACTTATACACAATAAATTTTGCCCATTGAGGATATAATTGTTTGAGTTAGCAAATAAAAACTATCATGTAACCACCTCCAAAATTAAGATGTACGGCATTTTAATCAATCCAAGATGTTTCCTTATGGTTCTTTAAAGACAACTTTTCAACCCAGGCCTTGAGAACCATGACCTGTTTTTTGTCAGTACAGTTTTGCCTTTTCTAGAATGTCGTATAAGTAGAAGCAATACAAGATGTGGCCTTTTGAATCTGGCTTTTTTTACTTAGTATAATGCATTTGATACTCATGTTGTGTGTATCAGTGTTCTTTTCCTTTTATTACTGTGTAGTGTTTTGTTGTAAGGATGTACCACAGTCTCTTCATTTACCAGTTGAAGGACATTTGGATTATTGCTATTTTTTTTGGAGTTATGAACAAAATTGATATAAAACAAATGTGTTTTTGTAAAAATAAGTCAATTCGTTTTTGTTCTGAAAAAAATAATTTTTTTACTTAGTTGTAAATTTCATGGAAAGTCAGAGTCCTTGTGACATTAGTTAAATGATTCTCCCTATTTGTGATTGACTGAAACCAGTAGAACTCATTGCCTCAAAATCATTATAAAATGGACCATTTATTGGTCAGCTATATTGGCACCCAAAGAAATTTGGATGATTTATTAAGTAATATTTGGAGGAGGGGAGGTAGCAATGAAAGAAACAACTTTAGGTCATTATGAAGTGGAGGAAGTATACATGTTTTGCATAAGTGTGCATTTTTCATGGCCTGTGGGACAGCATAGTGAAAGGGGTGAAGTGGAATTCTATTTAAAGAGAATCCTGTAGGGGATTAGGAGAAAAATGAATGTAAACTGATACCTTTAAAGCTAAGTATAACATAAGATATCATTATGGAAATGACCATCTTCAACTTTGAGTAACTGGTGAACTTACAGTAGGTTAAATAAAAAAGCCATCATAAGCTAAAAGCTTTTACTATGGGTGATATCTTAATTATGCCTACTGCATACTGGAACACAATACGGTTATTTAAGACTGTTGAAACTTTTGCATCACATCACAGACACTGAATAGAGTAGTAAATGCAACTTGGCTACATATTTAAAACAGCTGCTAATATTTTCAATTACATTGCTAGTTCAGCATTGTATATTAGTACATAAAAATAGTGATGATAATGTTCTATAACTTTTTTTCTAAAGCTATATGGTAGAACACACATTACCACACACTACGAACACAACTAGAGTAGAGCAAAATAATTTCTTGATGTAGCTCTGTAGAGTTACATTTAGCTTATAGAGATTTTGGAATGGTTTCCTGAAAGTGAGGAACTTTCTTCATCTTTCTTCTGATTAAATTTAAATGGGTTTAACTGATGCTAATAGGCAAGGAAGAAGAAAATAATAGGAATTAGGACAATTTATCCTTGCATATTCTAAAAGTGGATATTAGAATAATTGAACATAATTATGTATAAAAATAATGGCAATATAGAATACTTTCAGAAAAAAAATTTTATCTTGTTTTTTTTTTAAAGATTTTTATTGGGGAATTGGGGGGATGGGAACAGTGCAGGGGATTTGGGGGAAGGGGAACAGACAAGTTGCTGTCGTTTTGTTCTTCAGTCTAGTTGTGGAGGACGTTGCTTCACTGGCCCAAGTTGGCACCATCATTGCGCTCTTCCCAGGTGAGGCAGATCAGTCACTGGCTTCTGGAGGGCCGCTCACAGCGGCTGCTGGCTGCTCACGCTGGCTGCTGGCCGCTCACACTGGCTGCTGGCCGCTCACGCTGGCTGCTGGCTACACACGGTAGCCCATGGCAACCCACTGCCACAGGGGCTGCAGCCTAGGCCGTTGCCTGCGATTCATGGCAGCCCAGCTCCAGGTTGAGCTGTTGTTCAGCATCTTAGCTGTAGAGGGCAGTGTCACTGGCCCTCATAGGTGGGATCCGAATCGGGGCCCTCTGGCGTCCCAAACCAGTTCTTAACCATCGCGCCACTCGGCCGGCCCTATCTTGTTTTAATGAAGTGTGATTTATATGTGAAAGGACATTTTCAATGTGCTTCTGCTATCTTCTGTTTTCCTTTACTATCCATTCAATTTTCTCTGGCTAAATTCTTACCATCCTTCTAGATCTAGCTCAAAATCTAACTCTTCCAAAAAGTCTTTCCTTAATTTATTTGGGAATAACCTATTTTGTGCTGAATTCCAATAGCACCATATCTTCATTTCTCTATTTTACATTGGGATCATTTGTGTACTATCCCTTATCACCTTTACTACTTGCCCAGAATCCTTGTCTGGTCCACCCTCGCGTCCTTCACATTATCTAGCATCGAGTCTTTCACAGGGTATGTGCTGGATAGATGATTGTTGAACACATGAATGTCAGGCCTAATGTATACCTACACTATGAGGATACAAAGTAAGGGCTTGGTCCCACAAAGAAAACACAATATTCAGAATTATATGTATCATATTGATTGAGAAAATATTTATGTGTTTCTGAGATATCTTAGTGCAAAACCAGAAAGGATAATCAAAGCAGGTCATGAAATTAGTTGTAATTATACTAATAGTCTGTATTATAATAATTATACAATAATATTCTTTATGACAATAATTATAAAAATATCTCTTTTGGCCAAAACATATCCTCAGTACTAGTATAGTATGTGGCATGCTAGAGGTTCTCAGTAAAGATTTGCTGAAGAAATAAAACAAAAATAAATGCATTAATGAATAAACTAAATTAACACTAATATTTCAGAACACTCTGTGTGGAAGAATTCTTAACTATAACACCAATTTGTAATACAAATAGATAAACATTGAGAAAATTTCTTACATAATGTATTAAAGCCTTACCTGTAGATTATTTCTATTGATCCAACTATGCCAACAGAAGGTAAGATTAACAGTTCAGTTAAGTAAGCACTCATTAAATAATTATGTGTGTCAGAAAGTATACTCGCCATACAGTGGCAATACTTATTTTTAAATTTTTGAATATATTTTAATATTTGCTCCTAATAATTTGTTTGAGGAGTCTGTGTATTTATTTAAATAAATATATTACAAGTGAAATGACTACTATGAAATAATCAAGTATAAAGAATTAGAAGTGAGGGCCGGCCAAGTGGCTCAGTTGGTTAAAAGCTTGCTCAAGAGTGTGAGCTCTGAGCAACAGGGTCGCCAGTTTGATTCCCAGCCTGAGCTGAGCTGCCAACAGGTGGCAGGATGGCTCAGCTAAAAAAAAAAAAGAGAGACGTTTGAGACAGTTCATTTCCTACAAGAATCAGTCTAGAATTGTTTCTTTTTCAAATGGTGGCTCTTTAATTGGGCTTTGAAAAGTATAATTTGGATTTATGGAGGGAAATGGAGAAAGTTTCTAAAGAAGTAGAATAAACTATGTGAGCTTAAAGCTTCTCCATCATTTGAAAACAATATAAATATTATTTTACCATTGTCATGGTCAAAATCAGAAGAAATGCTGATTTAGAATCTTAAAGGTAAAACAATAGATTATGCTAGTGACTTAGCAGAACTCAGATAAAAAATAGAAGCCTTTAGAGAAAATTGTCTTTAATTGACTACTTAGTCAGCACGGGTGAATACAGAATTTGTAGAGATTATAAAGTAGAATCTGGCAGGTGCTTAAATGGAATGATTATATCATGTTCAATAGAGAGTCTAAGGGAAGTTCACAAGGTAAAAACCCTATAAAAAGGTTCACCTGAAGTTCAGAAGCTGTAACAATTTTAATTAATCCCCACTTATCTTGTAAGGTGTCTGTAGTTCTGGAAAATTTCAAATTTAACAGGAAAGGAACTTTACTAAAAAGTCCTTAATAGGCAGGTCAACTAAATGACACATTAAGAACTGATCTCCAACCATCGTTTTCTCTTGCCCTGTGTCTATGAGGAGAAAAAGTAAAGAAATAGACTGGCAAATTTATTATGCAAGTTTAAAGTTGCAGGACTAGTACTGCAGTTTCCAAGGGAATTCAATTACTTGAAGTCTTTGACTGAAGACAAATTATATCCTGTGATTAACACCTTTAATTGGACCATATATTAAATTCTGTTCATGTTCTGATACCCTGTTTTTAATGTACCCTTCAAAGTCATTAACATTTTCACAAATCAATCTTCTGAAATTATATAAATTCACAAAATTTTACCAACCATTTGGTTTTTCTCAATGTCCAAATTTTAAGCAAGACTTTATACCAAACTGAGTTATAGATGTAGAAAAAAGTAATTTTCATGAATAGTACTTATAAACAGATAGTAATATTGCTAATAAAAATCAAAAGACCTATTCTGATCTTAGAGTCTAGCAGTAATCTAATTTGGACACAAACGTCTAAGAATTTAGTGTTTTCCAGTGTAAATTTTTTAACTACAGGTTGATGTAATACACAAAATATAAAAAAGTA